GGGCCACCTGGCTAACTCAGTTGGAAGAGCATGCAACTCTTGATATCAGGGTTGTGAGTTTGGGCTCCACATTTGGGGGTAGAAGCTGCTTAAAACACTTTTTAAATAATATAATGTATTTTTCAGTTTGTAAGTTCCTTTGCTGTCTTTCCTGGATTGTGATTTAGTTCTGGAATTTAATTTGATATCCTCTTTTCCAAATGGGAGTAAGTGTAGAATTACACTTATTCCCTAGGCAAAACATGTCTTTTGAATCTAAATTTAGATTTAGATTTGCCAAAATATTTGCATAATTTGTGAAATAATGTACCAAGAATTTCTACCCTAAAAAACTGGGTGAACTCAAGAGTAAAGCCAAATGCCATAATAAAACAACAATAACAATTAAAACAACAACAAAGGGCAGCCCCGGTGGCGCAGCGGTTTGGCGCCGCCTGCAGCCTGGGGTGTGATCCTGGAGACCTGGAATCGAGTCCCACATGGAGTCCCACATGGAGTCCCACATCGGGTTCCCTGCATGGAGCCTGCTTCTCCCTCTGCCTGTGTCTCTGCCTCTCTCTCTGTGTGTCTATGAATAAATAAATAAAATCTTTATAAGTAAGTAAGTAAGTAAATAAATAAATAAAACAAAAACCTGGGTAAAGCATTCTCATACTTGGTTTGGATCAGCTCAAATTGATTTCAAAGATTTTATCAATAATTTTCTATATCACAGATGCCTTCAAAAAGAACTGATAACACAGACCTTATTTACTATTATGTACTAACCTACACATGATAATACAAATATAAGTGATAATAAAGGAAAGGAAATGATAAACATCAGTCTTCTATGTTCTCTCTGCCCTGTGATTTTTCTTTTTTCTTTTTTAAAGATTTTATTTATTATTTATTTATTCATTCATTCATTCATTCATTCATGAGAGACACACACAGAGAGAGAGGCAGAGACACAGGCAGAGGGAGAAGCAGGCTCCATGACGGGAGCCTGATGTGGGATTCAATCCCGGGACTCCAGGATCACACCCTGGGCCAAAGGCAGGCACTAAACTGCTGAGCCACCAAGGGATCCCTAATTTTTCTTTTTTATTAAAAGATTTTATTTATTTATTCGAGAGAGAGAGAGATCCAGAGCGATCATAGAGGGAGAGGAAGCGGGAGAAGCAGACTCTCCACTGAGCAGGGAGCCCAACAAGGGGCTTGATTCCAGGACCATGATGAGATCATGACCTGAGCTGAAGGTAGATGCTTAACAACTGAGCCACCCAGACGCCCCTGCCCTGTGATTTTTCACAATTAAAACATCGGTACTAGTTATTTCTTCTTTTTCCTGGTGTAGGCTCCCTGGACAGGCACATACTTTTTGAGTACTCATATTTCCTTTAATATGTTTGTATGTGCATTGTCGTTTTTCTGTGGTCTCTCAGAGGGCAAGAACCATAATGTTTTTAAAGATTTTATTTATTTATTCATAGAGACACAGCTAGAGAGAGAGGCAGAGACACAGGCAGAGGGAGAAGCAGGCACCATGCAGCGAGCCCGACGTGGGACTTGATCCCAGGTCTCCAGGATCATGCCCTGGGCTGCAGGCGGCACTAAACTGCTGCGCCACCGGGGCTGCCCCCATTATTATTTTTTTTTAAGATTTATTTATTTACTTACTTACTTATTTGAGAGGGAGAACATGAGCAGGGGAGTAGCAGAGGGAGAGAGAGAAGCAGACTCCCTGCTGAGCAGGGAGCCAGATGCAGGATCCCAGGACCCTAAGATCATGATCTGAGCCAAAGGCAGATGTTTATCAACTGAGCCACCCAGGTGCCACAAGAGCTATTGTTTCTTAAATTCAGCATTAAGTGAGGTTGGGAAGCATACCAAATACATGTTTCTTAGTTATATTTATTCTTACTTTCATATGTATTATTGTTATGAAGCCTATGGTTCCTCCTGCACAAGCAAGAGAAACCAGAAGTTTAAGTTATGTGTGCTGAGCCAGTTAAAAGTGGATTTTTCCAGGAAGGCAATAGCTCTTTCACCTTAAAAAGAAAAACCAGCATGTGTAAGAATGAATGGAGAGAGTGATTTGAGAGTGCTTTAACAGTTGTCAAATGAAGAGAACTTGGAGAAAAAGATGAAAGTTAGCAACAGTATAAAATGCCAGAAAGGATGGGATAAGACAACTTAAGAAGTGATCAATCTAGCAATTAGTAGATCATAAAACAATTTCAATAAATTTGGAGTCAAAATCCCTTCCTAGTAGTTGGGAAGTGAATGAGAGGTGAAGAAAAGAAGCAAGCGTGGACTCAAGGTTCTTGGCTGTGGAGGAAAGGCTGGGCACAGGAAGATGGAAGTTACTGAAGGGGAACCAAAGAAAGTCTTCACAAGCTAGTGAAGTGTAGTGAGTGGGCCTCAGCGCTGAGAAGGAAGAATTTTTTTTATTATTCTCCATTAGGAGAACGGGAAGTTGAAAAATAATAAGAGATAACAAGAAAATCTCAAGCAGACTCCCCACTGAGCATAGAACCTAATATGGGGCTTGATCTCACCATTCCAAGATCACAAACTAAGCTGAAACCAAGAGCCAGAGCTTAACCAACTGAGCCACCTACGTGCCCTGAGAGACCGTAAATTTACGGTGATATCTCCCATAAATGTGAAACGTTCTCCAGCAGCACACATCAAAGGAAGGCAAATGGTAAGAATAATCTGAAGTGTAGGGATTATCAGCACTGTCAGAGCAGGAGGACAAAGAAAACAAGGTCTGATTACTGGAAAGAACAATGTTATGTGCCACAGAACTAAGCTGACTAGAAAAGTAAAGGCCCCGAGCAGGAGAATATACCAACTAGGAGTTTCCCAGGCTGTTCCTCTCATAGCCTCCATACATACTCTTCATCTTATATTTCCCATTTTTTAAAAAGTAACCTCCACATCCAACATGGGGCTCGAACTCACAACCCCAAGATCATGAGTCACAGTCACATGCTTCACTGACTGAGCCAGCCCTGTGCTGCTTGTATTTCCCATTCTGATAAATGTCAGCTAATCTCCCTGTCCTGGATCCGGTCAACTGGAACTTTTAAATATCTTCCATTTTCCTCTTCATAGTTCCATTATTGCCTCCCTTGTTTAGTTAGGCCTTTTCCTTCATATGAATTATCATTGCAGCCTCCCAGATCTTCAAGTGTTGTTCTTAATTGGTCCTCTACCACCAGAGTGTTTAAAAAAGAAGAAAATCAATCTGATGTTAGGTGGTTGTGAATGAGGGAGGGGTTGAGAATAACCCTTTGATGTTTGAATGAAGGATGATACATTAATCTTGACATAGAATGGAAGAAGAGCAATCTAACAAGACAGGCAACAGATGTAGGGAGGAATGTTATATGTGCATTTATTCCTTTGGCAACAACTTCTGAGCATCTGCTATGTGCCAGGCACTCTTCCAGATGCTGGATGTATGACATGAACAACAACAACAAAGCATACAGCTTACTTTTTAGTGGTGAGGGGATTCAAAACAATAAGAATAAGCTGATAAGTATAAATTATTTTAGGTGCCAATAAGACCTTGTAAAAGTAGAGAAGGCAGGGAGTGAAGGGTGGTAAGGGGGGATAGAGTGGCTAGAGAAGGGCTTAAGATTGATGACACTTAAACAGAAGCTACGTTGTAAAAATATAATGACAAATTGCTTAATGAACATCAAACCAGAAGGGATTACTTCCAATAAAGGAAATAGTATTTGTGTTAACCTTGGTAGGAATTTCACGGGTAAACATTCATGGCAAGGGCCAATCCAGATAAAAGGAAGGATGTGATTCAAAAAGAAAGTCCATGCTACATTCATAAAATAACCAGTTAATTATTATATAATAGAGATAAATAGAGTTAGCTTGTGTCAGTATTTGAATGCCATATTACTATCTGAACTTACTCTCTACTCTTCAGGAAATCACCAAAAGTTTATGAGCAGGAGTGCAACATGTCCAAAAGTGTGCTTTTAAAAAAAGAATCACCTTTTATAGAATGGATTAGAAAAAGAAAAAAACACCAGTTAGAAACCTATTGTAGTAGCCCAAGTGGAAGGTAATGAGACACAGAGTAGAAATAAAAAGGAAGAATATCTTATAGAATATATACTATTTGAGAGCCAGTATGAAGATAAGATCACCATGATTTTGTTAAAAAAAAAAAAAAGGATCAAAAGAGAGAAAAAAAAAAACCGAGTTCATATGTATGGGAAGATCTCTCTCTCTCTCTCTCTCTCTCTTTAAAGTATCTGGGAAGCTCTTGACATAATTAACAGAGAAAAATCACAAGGTAGAAAAAAGTAAACTTAGTAGATGTCAAGTTACACCAGTGAGAAGTCCTAGCTTTTCCATAGCAGTAGCTGCAGCTCTGAGACTGAAGTGCCTTTCCCCCTACTGGTCTTCTGGAAAATGAGACAGCAATTGAGTTTTGCACTAGTTTAATATGATTAAAGCCAGTTTTTCACATCTTTCAGGAAAAGGAAGTAGTATCTACTAACAAAAATAGTAGCATTTATATACATAATCCTCTGATTGTAGAAAATGAACCACAGGTCCTATCTTGACTGTAGGCCACCAGGTCATTGAAGGAGAAACTCTTACAATCTTCACCTTGATACAAGGAACACATAGTAATCTTGCGACCCATTCCATAATTATGCATCCCGTTTCTGCATAATTTTTCGTGAAAACAAAGCAGTTGAGCAAGCTTAAACTGGGGGTGCCCAAAACTAGTGCGTTCTGACCCCGAACACCATACCGCCTGTACTGGGACCGGCTGGATTGCAATCGGTTTACATCCTCCTCCCGGAAGCGGTGTGTGGAAATAAAACTACATTTCCCGGCGATCTCTGCGCAGTTAGACGCAAAGCAAGGAAAGGCGGGGAATGTGTGAATAGCCTTCTTATTGGTGCGCCATCCAAAGGGCCATGTAAACTTGTGGGCGATTGGACGGATTCGTGCACGCTCAGTGGCGCCGCGACGCTACCGGATTTAAGTTTTGTTTTTCGGTTGGGGGTCTCTGACTCGGAGGCTTAGTGTGGCGTGAGTATAGAGTTTTGGGTTTAGGGTGCAGGGGTTAGGGAATGGGGCCTTGGACTAAAAACAAAAAACAAACAAACAAAACCCTAATGAGGGAGAAGTCAGTGCGGGTACCGGAAGAAAGAATAGACAAAGTGGAAGGTTTTGGGGTATTGGAGGACCTGGGAGCCGTGGCGATGAGGGAGGCAGCAAACGGGATGAAATGTAAAAAGGAATATAGAATTTGATGGTCCTGGAAATGCGTTCCAGTATTCCCTCCTCCCAAGATAGTCCAAGCCCTCAGTTCCCTTATTTGTAGAATTGAGGAATAATAAAAATACTTAGCAAAGTTGTTGTGGGGGTAAATAAAGTGAATGTCAAAGTGCTACTCAAGGTATGCTGTAAGGAGATGTAAGGCTGTATTAAAACAGCAACAACCGTAAACGAAGATATCACAGAGGTAGAGGAATAGAAGAAGCTACCTGAAACCCATTAACTTATCTATAAACAAAGGCATTGTTCTTTTGAGGGATACGGTGATGAATAAAGCCCGTTTATCTGCAGGGAACATACCTATCGTGAGAGAAATGACAGCAACAAAGAACTCTGTTCTTTGTTAGCGCCTGTTAACTTTTATTTTTTTTTAAGATTTTATTTTATTTACTCATGAGAGGCACAGAGACAGAGAGAGAGGCAGAGACACAGACAGAGGGAGAAGCAGGCTCCATGCAGGGAGCCCCACGTGGGACTCTATCCAGGGACTCCAGGATCATGCCCTGGGCGGAAGGCAGGCGCCAAACCGCTGAGCCACCCAGGATGCCCCTGTTATGTTAACTTTTAGAGAATTACATTTGCGGTTCTTTTGCAGTTAGATCATTTTGGTAGATCAATTTGGATGGAAAGAACTCAGCAAAGAGATGAAGGAGGTAGTATTGAGTTTTCAGGTACTGACTGGGTTCCACTAAGTAAAATTATGACAGTGGAGAGAGTTATGTTCTAGCTGAGGGGAAGCTCACCAACAAGGGCATGGAGGCAAGAAATTATCTGCATCTGGGGTTTATTTAGGAGAGTAGAGGGAAATTAGGAGAGGTAGGTTTGGACCTTAGAACTTCATGATGTCTAGGTTTAATCAGATTTAATGCATTAGGCTATCAGGAGCCACTGATGAATTTTATGACTTCTAAGAATATGGTCCAAGGGAGATAAGGGGTAGATAGAATAGTTAAGCCCTTGTAGTAGAGTGGGTAAGAAGATACGGAAATCTTGAATTAACATGGTTATTCCCAAATAGAGTATACAGGATTTTCATATGATTGGATGAGGGTCAAGAGAAAGAGTATGGAATGATGAATTTAAATTTTTAAAGTCCAGGTTGCTTGGAAGATGCTGAAGTAGCTTTGAAGGGCTAAAAATTAGGTGACTTGAGTGGTGTTTTAAGTTAGACTTTTTTTGAGTTAGACATTTTAAGCTCCAATGGAACATGTAGGTTCCGTAATTGGAAATTCAAGCTAGGATATTGAAAGATGTCATTTATTTGTTCAGTAAGTAGTTATTACTCTGTGCCAGATAGTGTTTTAGATAATAGAGGTAATCATAAAAGCAGTGGACATAACAATGTTCCAATGGGTAGAGGAAGTAGAAAAAGTTGAAGACAACTTTTTTAAACCAAGAGAGGAAAATTATCAGTAAAAATAATGGTAATCTTCATTTGAACACTTATGTGTCAGAAACTGTGCTCAGGTCTTTTATTCATTATCTCCTTTAACCCTTACACCTACTTATGATATATGCTATTCTCTCCATCTTTTAATAACTGCAGTATAGAGAGGTGAAATGTCTTGCCTTTTCACACAGCTAATAAGGGACAGAGCTTTGACTCAAACCCAAGTCTGTTTTGATTTCAGAGACCAAGCTCTGAACTACAGTATTTTTTAAAGTGATCAACACTGTCAAATTAAGCATACGAATCAAGGAGTGACTTGTTGGATGGAGGTTGGGAAACCAAGAAAGTAGTTGAATTTATTCATTTGGTTGTCTGCTGACCAACTTCAGTTCAGATGTTGTAGGCATTGATATAGTGGTGAGAATAGCTGCCTTCCAGATGTAGGAGCAGTCAGATTGTGAGACATTAAAAAACTAAATGAGATGTGAATGTAGACTACTTTTTGTAGATGTGCAGTAGCCATAGGAGAGAGGAGTGAGGACAGTCACTACGAGGAAGAAGAGAGGTTACAGGTTGTTAGAAAGGCTCTTTTAAAGTTCCAGAGTTATTGTTATTCTGCGGCACCTGGCTGGCTCAATTGACAGAGCATGCAACTTTTTTTTTTTTTAAGATTTATTCATTTATTTATTAGAGATAGCATGAATGCCAGTGGTGGAAGGGGCGGAGGGAGAGAAAATTTTTAAGCAGGCTGCCTACTAAGCATGGAGTCCAACACAGGGCTCAATCCCAGGACCCTGAGATCATGACCCGAGCTGAAACTGAGAGTCGGCCGCCCAACTGACTGAGCTAGCTAGTCTCCTGAGCATGCAGTTCTTGATCTTGGGGTCTTGAGTTTGAGCCCCACATTGGGCATAGAGGTTACTTAAGAAAACAAACAAAACGACTCAAAAAATTATTTTGAAACAAGTCCCAAGTTACTCTTAAATAGTTTTAGAGCAGTTTAGAACATTCATCTTTAAAATGTCACCTGTACTCATAAAATGAAATGTTACTTGGTCATATAAAGGAATGAAGAACTAATACGTAGTATAACATGGATGAACCTTGAAAACATGCTAAGTGAAGGAAACCTGTCATAACCAGCCATAAAAGACCACATACTATGAAATCTCATTTATATGGAAGTCCAAAATAGGAAGATCTATAGAAATAGAAAACAGATTGCTTAGGGCTTGGGGGGAAGTGGAGCACAGGGGTGATGGCTAAAGGATATAGGATTTTTTGAAATGATGGAAATGTTCTATAGTTGTAATGGTTGCACATATCTGAATATACTAAAATCTTTGAATTGTATACTTTGAATGAGTTATATGGAATGTGGATTTTTTTTTAAATTTATTTATTTATGATATTCACAGAGAGAGAGAGAGAGAGAGAGGCAGAGGGAGAAGCAGGCTCCATGCACCGGGAGCCCGACATGGGACTCGATCCTGGGTCTCCAGGATCGCGCCCTGAGCCAAAGGCAGGCGCCAAACCGCTGCGCCACCCAGGGATCCCTGGAATGTGGATTATATCTCAATAAAGGTGTTAAAAAATATTGCCTGTAATCTTACTATACCCACCCACTTTACTATTTTTATTTTCTAGGTTATTTTTTACAAGGGACAGATTTGCCCAATTTGAAGAAGTTTTGTGGAAGGAGGTGAGTTTGAAGGAGAATAATTTTTTTAAAGGAGTGTGAGAAAGAGATGGTATATTTGAAGGATTGGTCAGCAGAAGAAAGCTAATGGAATGATAGAAGCAGAAACTGATTTTCTAGCTAAATTGGATAGACTGATCAGTCAAAGAAAAAGATATTGAGCAGACTTTTAGATTCATATTGAGGATTTTTAAAAAAATTTTTATTTATTCATGATAGACATAGAGAGAGAGAGGCAGAGACACAGGCAGAGGGGGAGAAGCAGGCTCCATGCAGGGAGCCCGATGTGGGACTTGATCCCGGGACTCCAGGATCACACCCCCGGCCAAAGGCAGGCGCTAAACCTCTGAGCCACCCAGGAATCCCCCATATTGAGGATTTTTTAAAAAATTGATTAAACATCTACTGAACCAGGCACTATTGTAGTCACCGGGGATATATCAGTGACAGCAATAGGTTAAAAAAATGCCTGCACTTAGTGAGTTTCCATGTTCCAGTGTGGGGAGTTAATAAATAAATAAAATACATCAGAGGGTGATAAAAGCAGAGAAGGTGGGTAAGGGAATACCAGATGGTCAGGGAAAACTTCATTAAGAGGATAACATTAGAACCCTCAAGGAGAGGGAGCAAGCCATACATAGATAAATGGGAAAAGAACATCATAAATAAAGTAGAAGTTTGAAATCTGAAGTAAAAGTTTGTCTGGTATGTTTAAGGAACAGCAGAGGCCAATGCTGGAGCAGTGAGCAGTGGGAGAGTCTTAGGTGGAGTCACAGAGGTCCTGGGGTAGCTGGATCATGTAGGACCTTGGAAGCCATTTTAAAGACATTGGCTCTCTGACTAAAAAAAAAGTCTCAGAGGCTTTTGAGCAGAGGAGTTTTGTGTTTTGACTTAACATTTTATTTTATTTATTTTTTTAAAGATTTTACTTATTTATGAGAGACACGGGGCGGGGGGGGGGGTGGGACAGAGACACAGGCAGAGGGAGAAGCAGGCTCCATGCAGGGAACCCGACATGGCACCCGATCCTGCGTCTCCAGGATCATGCCCTGGGCTGAAGGCAGTACTAAACCGCTGAGCCACCTGGGCTACCCTTAACTTAACATTTTAAATAATCCCTCTAGGGGTGCCTGGGTGGCTCATTCGGTTAAGCGTCTGCCTTCAACCCCACAGTGGGCTTCCTGCTTAGTGGGGAGCCTTCTTTTCCCTCTCCCCCCTGCTCATGTTCTCTCTTGCTAGCTCTCTCTCAAATAAATAAATATAATCCTTAAATAAATAAATAATCACTCTAACTGCTGGTTGAAGGTAGACTGCAGGGCTTGGACTTGAGATTAGAAGCAAAAAGACCAGTTAAAGCGGCTATCCTAGTCTTCCAAGCAAGATATTATAGTGGGTTGGACTAGGGAAGTATTGGCATGAATAATTGTCAGATTCTAGGTATTTTGATTGTAGAGCCAATAGGCTTTGCTCACAGATTGAGTATAGCATGTAAGAAGAGTAAAGTTTCTCCAGCTAAGTTTTTTTGGTCATAAACAACTGGCAAGATTGAGGTAGTAGTTACTGGAATGTAGAATTCTGAGAGAAGAACAGATTTTCATGGTAGGTATGTATCAGGAACTTGGTTTTGGACTTGTTAAGCTTGAGGGACCTATAAAATATCCAAGTGGAGATATGGAAAGGCAATGAGAGAGGTATGAGTGGAGTGGAGGGCAGGGTTAGCACTGGAAGTAGGACTTTGAAAACCATTAGAGTGTACAAGATGTTTAATTAAGACTGATACTTTATTTTTCTTTTTAAGATTTTTATTTATTAGGGAACAAGACTAGGGGGGTGGGGCAGAAGGAGAGGAAGAAGCAGACTCCCTGCTGATCAGGGAGCCTGATGTGAGACTGGATCCCAGGATCGTGACCTGAGCTGAAGGCAGACAGTCAACCACTGAGCCACCTAGGCGTCCCTAACTAAAACAGACACTTTATGCAGTCACCAAGGCAATAAGTATAGATAAAGAGGAGGAAGAACTAGCAGTGACTGAAAATTAATGATCAGTGAGGAAAAAAGAAGAGCAGGAACATGTGGTATCCTAGAAGCCAAATGATGAAGGGTTTCAAGGAGGAGCAGAGGCACTCTCGGATTCTGAGTGGGGGAAATGGTATATAGAATTAACAAGAATGATTTTCTCTTATCACTCTTGTTCACAAAATTCTCCAAAGGACTGAAGATTACAAACAAATTAAAACCAATTAAAAGAGCATGCTTTTAATAGTACCTCATCATGCTTAAACTCAGAATGGCTTGACAGCATGCTTGATAAGCCAGCTTTCCCTAAAGCTAATAAACTTTCCCTTCCGTCCCTCCCCCTCTCCTTCCTTGTTTCTCCCCCTTCTTCTTTTCTTTCTCCCTTTCCACTTCTCCCCTTCTCACCTATTCCCTCCCTGACTGTGGGGTTATCTTCATGAAAATTTTTGTGATAAGATTATTCAAGTAGAGGAACCCAAGCTCTATGTTAGCAATTGGAATAGAGATTGTAAGTGGACCTTATAAATTATAAAGTTTGTAAGTAATTTTTCCTTTCTCTAAGATGAAACAATAGGTAAAGCACACTAAATAAAGGTAAAATGTCCGTGGCTTTGTATTTAAATTTAGCATAATTGGCCCTCTACCTTAATTTTCATTTGCTGTCATTTACTTGTTAGAAACTTTTCTTCATCTTCCTCCAGTTTCAGCCAAAGGATTGTAAAATAGTTTTGCCTTGTTGCAGACAACCTTCATATTAAGGAGGCTTTTCTTTTGTGTGTGCATATCCATCCAAACATCAGATGCCATTAGGGTTTTATATAAAAATAGTAATGATGAATGCCTTATAAAAATTGAAAAGTCATAGATTTTCATGATTTGGAAGTACTGTAAAGAATCCTGCGTTTTAGAGCATCACTTTCTCACCAAAATGTACATCTGGTGATGGTGGAAAGAAAACTAGTCTGTGTATCCTGTACTGTTTTTTGTCTGTTCCTGACCCCTCATTCTGAATTTTTGTGTATTTGACAGGTGTGAAAAGGACAGCATGAATTTTACCCCAGTGCGTACCCCTGTCTGCAGAAGGTAAGACATTTGCTTATATTCAAGTTGTTGAAGAATAAAGACTTCTGTTGCCGTTAAGTACGAGTTAGCTTAGGAACTAGAAAGGTTTTATTTTATTTTATTATTTTTAAAGATTTTATTTATTCATGAGAGACACAGAAAGAGAGGCAGAGACATCGGCAGAGGGAGAAGCCGGCTCCCTGAGGGGATCCCGATGTGGGACTCGATCCCAGGACCCCGGGATCATGACTTGAGCCAAAGGCAGCTGCTTAACCATTGAGCCACCCAGGCGTCCCACTAGAAAGTTTTTATTTATTTATTTTAGAAAGGTTTTAGAGGTATGTTTCCAAACCCTGAACTTGAACTATATTAGACCTCATTTTTCTATTCTTATTATGTGGAATTTAGATTTAAAACTAGGACTTACATCAAGACAGTGTGGTACTGGCACAAAAACAGACACATAGATCAATGGAACAGAATAGAGAATCTAGAAGTGGACCCTCAACTTTATGGTCAACTAATATTCGATAAAGGAGGAAAGACGATCCACTGGAAGAAAGACAGTCTCTTCAATAGATGGTGCTGGGAAAATTGGACATCCACATGCAGAAGAATGAAACTAGACCACTCTCTTTCACCATACACAAAGATAACTCAAAATGGATGAAAGATTTAAATGTGAGACAAGATTCCATCAAAATCCTAGAGGAGAACACAGGCAACACCCTTTTTGAACTTGGCCACAGTAACTTCTTGCAAGATACATCCACGAAGGCAAAAGAAACAAAAGCAAAAATGAACTATTGGGACTTCATCAAGATAAGAAGTTTTTTTTTTTTTTTTTGTTTTTAAGATTTTATTTATTCATTCATGAGTACACACAGAGAGAGAGAGGCAGAGACACAGGCAGAGGGAGAAGCAGGCTCCACACAGGGAGCCCGATGTGGGACTTGATCCCAGGTCTCCAGGATCACGCCCTGGTCCAAAGGCAGGCACCAAACCGCTGAGCCACCCAGGGATCCCAAGATAAGAAGCTTTTGCACAGCAAAGGATACAGTCAACAAAACTAAAAGACAACCTACAGAATGGGAGAAGATATTTACAAATGACGTGTCAGATAAAGGGCTAGTTTCCAAGATCTATAAAGAACTTATTAAACTCAACAGCAAAGAAACAAACAATCCACTCATGAAATGGGCAAAAGACATGAACAGAAATCTCACAGAGGAAGACATAGACATGGCCAACACACACATGAGAAAATGCTCTGCATCACTTGCCATCAGGGAAATACAAATCAAAACCACAATGAGATACCACCTCACACCAGTGAGAATGGGGAAAATTAACAAGGCAGGAAACAACAAATGTTGGAGAGGATGTGGAGAAAGGGGAACCCTCTTGCACTGTTGGTGGGAATGTGAACTGGTGCAGCCACTCTGGAAAACTGTGTGGAGGTTCCTAAAGGAGTTAAAAATAGACCTGCCCTACGACCCAGCAATTGCACTGCTGGGGATTTACCCCAAAGATACCAATGCAATGAAACACCGGGACACCTGCACCCCGGTGTTTATAGTAGCAATGTCCACAGTAGCCAAACTGTGGAAGGAGCCTCGGTGTCCATTGAAAGACGAATGGATAAAGCAGATGTGGTTTATGTATACAATGGAATATTACTCAGCCATTAGAAATGACAAATACAAAAAAAAAAAAAGAAATGACAAAAATCCACCATCTGCTTCAATGTGGATGGAACTGGAGGGTATTATGCTGAGTGAAGTAAGTCAATCAAAGAAGGACAAACATTATATGTTCTTATTCATTTGGGGAATATAAATAATAGTGAAAGGGAATAGAAGGGAAGGGAGAAGAAATGGGTAGGAAATATCAGAAAGGGAGACAGAACATGAAGACTCCTAACTCTGGGAAACGAACTAGGGGTGGTGGAGGGGGAGGAGGGCGGGGGGGTGGGGGTGAATGGGTGACGGGCACTGAGGGGGGCACTTGACGGGATGAGCACTGGGTGTTATTCTGTATGTTGGCAAATTGAACACCAATAAAAAATAAATTTATTATTAAAAATAATAAAACTAGGACATATTAAATGTTAACACCTGAATCCAGGCAGTTTGAGTGGGCCTGGTATAGTGCCTGTGGATCCTGGACTAGAGGAAACAGCCAGCGTGCAAAGAGGGAACTTCTAATTCTACAACCAACTTCCACCACGATGGACACATCCTCATCGCCACAACTCTCCCCTGCAAAATATCAGGAGTACTTCTTAGTTCATCTACTGATATATTTTCCACAGTTGTTATAAGGCAACTCCTTTTGAAGATGTGAAACATTAGGTAAAAGAGCATTTCTGGGATCTCTGGGTGGTGCAGCGGTTTGGCGCCTGCCTTTGGCCCAGGGCGCGATCCTGGAGACCTGGGGTCGAGTCCCACGTCGGGCTCCCGGTGCATGGAGCCTGTTTCTCCCTCTGCCTGTGTCTCTGCCTCTCTCTCTCATTCTATGTGACTATCATAAATAAATAAATAAATTTAAAAAAAAATTTAAAAAAAAAAAAAAAGCATTTCTGTCATGAGCTTTTAGTGATGGAGAAAATACTAGGGTTTTTTCCTTCATGCTAGCTGAAAGTAAATTATACTATCTCTGCTATACACACTCATTTATTAAAGGTGCTGAGTGACCATCACCTTTGTTAACTACAGCTCTGGGCTTACAGTAGAAAGTTTCTCCACACTGCTGTCTATTTTGTTGTGTTGTAAATTGAAGGAAGTTTTGTTTACTGACTTGCATTGTTTTAGCTGAAGGCTCTTGTTTGCTAAAAGCAAAACAAACAGAACTCCTTACCTAGCCTTTGATTAGCCTTTGATCTTGTCTAATCTTGGTCTGTGTAATTCAAATGCCTCTCTGATGCTAATGTGATTGCATGGTAACTAGGCTATATTTTCTAATCCTGAATCTTATATTTGTCGTTTCTTTTCTCAATTATTTTGCCACTTATAATACCTGTTCCTAAAAACAAGTTTCATTTGGCAAGTTCAAATCTTAAATAAATGGGAATATCTTCTATACATGTATCTACATACATTTTTCCGTTTGATATTGTTAGGATGACTCATTCACATTTGGGTATCTCTAATCCATAGTTTCTAATGACTTTGAATAAGGTTCCATTTATATGAATATACCACAATTTATCCATTTTCCTATTGAGTAGATGGCTGGAAGGTTTACCATTTTTGTTACTACAAGTAATGTTGCTATAAGCATTTTCACATGTCACCTTGTATGTATGTGAATGAGTTTCTCTAGGACAAGAGGAATGGCAATCTTAGTAGATTCTGCCAATGTACTCTCTGTTGTGTCAAGTTAGACTCCACCAGCAGTTTATAGTATTCTGCTGTGCGTCTTAATAGTATTAAATTTTGTTATTATCTGGTCTCACTTGGGTAATATTTCATTTTTTTAATCTTTTTACTCTCTAACCTCTATTGAATCTAGCTTTAAGCCTTTAATATTTGGAAACCAGTTCATAAAATTATTCACTAACCTGGAACATTAAACTTTGAAGGTTTATGAGCACCTTAATTATACAGTGCTTCAAGAACATAAACTCCTTTTTTATTTGAGAAATTACAATGTTTCATCGGGGCACCTGGGTGGCTCAGCCGGTTAGGCGTCTGCCTTTTTTCAGGGTCCCAGGGTCCTGGGATCAAGTTCCATATTGGACTCCCTGCTCAGCGGGGAATCTACTTCTCCCTCTCCCTCTCCTCCTGTTGTGCTCTCCCTCTCTCTGTCAAATTAATAAAATCCTTTAAAAAAATTATAATGCCTCATAAATGTTCGTGTAGTTTAATGAATATATCCTTTCTGATTTCACATAGGCCGACACCTGTCTCCAAACAGGATGTTACCTGTGGCTTTAGTGGTCCTACCAAGTGGAAGAGAATGTCATTCTTGGATTCAGTGGAGTCAACTCCTTTGCCTTCCACGGAAGATCGTCTGGCTGTCCTCTGCCCTTCTCAGGAGCTTCTGGAATATTACCAAAAGAAGATGGCTGAGTGTGAGGCAGAAAATGAAGACCTGTTGAAGAAACTGGAGCTCTATAAAGAAGCTTGTGAAGCACAGGTGAAAGGGATGATGCATTGTACCCTTTTAGGATTCTGATTGAGTCTGTTCATTCCTGAGAGAAGTGCCAGCTCATATCATAAGCAGATAATTTTATTTTAAAAATTCTTTTTTAATTCTATTTTATTAATTTTTTATTTTATTATTAATATTATTTTATTCCTTTCTACTGCAGCCTAGCTCCCTATCCACCCTTTGGGCCCTCACTGGATCATAATCTCCCCTCAACTACTGTACCTCTTAAATCAACTACTGTACCTCTTAAATCTTAAACTCTTATGACTTGGTCTCTTTGATACTTCTGGTTCTTTCACCCCTTATACCTGACTTCTTTTAACTTCATTCTTACCTCTGTAGCTCAGATACACAGTTGTTATAAGATACTGATAGTTCAGTTTTTTAAGTGTTGCCTGCCAGCTTCTGATTTCATGTCCTTCCTTTCTAACCCAAACTGCATTGTGCTTCACTTCAGTAACTATACTGCCTCCATGACCCCTTGCTTACTCTTCTGCCCTACTTGTATAGCACACACCCTAGCTATAACTTCATCCAGTTCTCCACAGGATTTCTTAACCTTGGCATTACTGACATTTGGGGCTTGGTACTCCTTTATTATGGAGACTGTGCACTGTACGATATTTAGTAGCATCCTTGGCCTCCACTCACTAGACACCAGTATCACACCTCTTCCCCATTCGTGACCATCAGAAATGCCTGCAGACGCTGCCCCAATTTCTTCTGGGAGCATAGGCAAAATCACCCCTAGTTAAGAACCATTGTTCTGAAACAGTCACATGTCATTACTGAATAAATTCATGGTAAACATGTCCATCTATATCCTTAGTCACTATATCAATTTTTCTTACTTGTGCACATCTGTGCCATACCTTCACCCTCCTCCAGTCTGCAAACCCTTCTTAGTCCTCTTCTCTCGGGCATCTTCTTCCTACTTCATAGAAGAAATGCCAGCTATCACTCATGCTTCCTTCCTGCCCATCCATACAAGTCACCGACATCTGTATCCATCGATCCATCATTCTTTCTTCCTGCTTCAGGGACAATCTCTATTTGTTCAAGCTGCATTGATTTAGCCCTCCCCCCATCCCCATCCCTTTCTCCTCCTCAGAAACCCTGTTTCATCATCTCTTCTGTGTTCTGTTTTTAACTTCTTGCCTCACACTTACCTCTTTGTTCTCAGTATATAAACATACTCAAGTCTTTCCCAACTTAAAAGAAGAAAACACCCTTCTGTGGTTGTGCTTTCCCCTCTTAACTACTCTCTTACGTAGATGGCTTTTTTTCTCCACCACACTTGTAGAATAGTTTGACTTTACCACCCACTCTGTGGCCTCTTGACTGTAGTTTGGTCTCTGTCCTCATTGCTCTACTGAAGCTGCATCTCCTGTGGTCTCTGGAACCTGCTTGTCAAAATGATCTCTTCTCTTTGTGGCCTTTGGACTGTTTGTCACTGTTGATCTTTCTGCAGACGTGTCCTTTGTAGATTTCCATGTCCTTTTCCTTTCTCAGTGTCTGTCTTACCTTTCTGACCATTCTTCTCAGTCTCCATCAACAGCACCCCTTCCTTAGTCTTAAATAGCAAAGTCCTAGACTCCACCTTATATGGTCTCATTGTGCCTTCTACTACTACATAGGAGATGATGACATCAAATAACTAACATGGACTCACTTTTCTCTTGATCTCCGTGTTAACCCATCCGTGTCTGAACAACTCTTCCCTTTCCTACCCTACCCACACATAATATGTCCCACTAAAGTATCCCCTCTCTCCTCTTCATCTCTTCAATTTTTCTTTATTCTGTGTCCAGTAGTAAATGGTATTGTTGCCTGCAATTCTCCCCAGCCCCTACTTCTAGCACTTGGTGAGTCCTCTTCACTCTGCTTCCTAAATGCCACTTACTCTGTTCTAACAACTTAATCACTGTTCCCTCCACACTGGTTCAAACCTTATTATCTCTCCCCGAACTATTACAGTGTCCTCCTTACCAGTATCCAGCCTTGGCCTCATACGTCCCCATTCTGCCTCTTTACTGTCAATGCCAGTGACACTGTAATACTTGGGGTTACCCAGATACTCAAGGCTCTGATGATTCTGTATTTCTCTTTCTTTCCCGAGAGTACCCACCCTCTACTTGTCTCTAGCAGTTTTCATCTTTCACGTTCCAATTTATGGGTTGTGTTGTCTGACTTCCCAAAACCTGCAGAGGTTTTACTCCTGCCATACCTTCCCCTCTACCATTTTCCTATGCACACTCTTTCATGAAATAACTTTCATTTTAGTTGTTTGCACGTCTCTCTCCCTGCACAAAATTCTTCAACTCTATGGGCAGGAATCATTCCTTTTTATCTTTGTTTTTCCAAAATTTTGTAATCCTTATTACATAGAAAGCATTTAAAAAAGAAGTGTGAAAAAAATAAAATAATAAAATAAATAAAATAAAATAAAATAAATAAAAAAAATAGAAGTGTGGGGCAGCCCCCGTGGCGCAGCGGTTTAGCGCCGCCTACAGCCTGGGGTGTGATCCTGGAGACTAGGGATCGAGTCCCACGTTGGGCTCCCTGCATGGAGCCTGCTTCTCCCTCTGCCTCTCTCTCTCTCTCTCTCTCTCTCTCTCTGTCTCTATGAATAAATAAATACAATCTTCAAAAAGAAAATAAATAAAATTTAAAACAGTAAAAAAGAAGTGTGACTAGAAGAGGTAAATCATATGGCGTTACAGGGTTCTGTAATTTATAAAAAGAAAATACAAGAACTTTTATGTTATATGCAAACATCACACTCACTCTGTACCTTTTTTTTTTTCACCCTGTAGCTTTAAACTCAAGTCTGTACACAACCTGTTGTTGTCATTTGAATTCTGTGTTGGTGAAACCATTCGCTTTGTAATATTTCTGCATGAACTGATTCACCGTATCAAATATGAGATCCTACTGTGAAGCGCAATATCTTTTCAACTACTTTTTCTTCCCCTGTCCCCACCTCCTCCAGCATAAACTAGAATGGGATTTGCAGCAGAGGGAAGAAGAGATTGCTGAATTGCAGAAAGCTCTAAGTGATATACAGGTCTGCCTCTTCCAGGAACGGGAACATGTTTTACGCCTCTACTCAGAAAATGACCGACTGAGAATCAGGTACCAAGTGGGAGAAGGGAAATATTGGTTATATTTCTAAATTAAACTAAACAAGATACATTTCTCTGTGGCCCTTCTTTTAGGTTGTGTTCCCCAGGAAGCAGACTCTGAGATGGTTGCAAGGATGGTTATTAGTAGGAAGACTCTTCAGGAATAACATCTATGAGCAGATTTGAACTGTGATTCCATGATAGAGGTTTCAGCCAACCCCACAGGGAGCTCTGAGGCCAGGATAGCCATTCAGAAGCAAAACGGTTGACCATTTGTGCCCTACAATGATCACTCAGTGGATGTAGGCTGTCACCAGAGAGGGGATGTAATCTTGAGAGAGGCAAGCCCCCTTCAGCCTAGGGCAATTCCTGGAGGACTCAGCTCTTGGGTGGTGGGTGTCTTGGTCCTGAAGGTGGCATCTGAGCAGTATTCTACAGCATCCACCACTACATTTTTTTTTGATTGTGGTAAAATATACTTAACATAAAATTTACCATCATGGTCATTTTTAAGTGTATAGTGCAATGGCGTTAAGTATATTTATGTTAATGCAGCCATACTACTATCCAGCTCTAGAACTTTTTCATCATCCCATATAGAAACTCTCTACCCATTAAACAATAACTCCCCATTCCCCCCCACCCCCTGCCCAGCCCTTAATAACCAACCACTGTTCTACTTTTCTATGTATTTGACTTCGTAGAAGTAGAATCATATAGTATTTGTCCCTTTGTGTTTGGCTTATTTCACTTAGCATAATTTTTTCAAGGTTCACCCATATGCTAGTATGTATCAAAATTTTGTTCCTTTTTAAGGCCAGAAAATATCCCATTGTATGTACCTACCACATTTTTTTAGCCATTTGTCAATTGATGGACCTTTGAGTTGTTTCTGCATTCTAGTTTTTGTGAATAACACTGCTATGAGCATTGGTGTACAAATATCTGTTCAAGTCCCTGCATTCAGTTCTTTTGTTTATATACCCAGAAGTGGAATGCTGAATCAAATACTAAATTTGTGTTTAATATTTTTGAGGAATTACCTTGCTGTTTTTGATAGTGACTGCACCATTTTACATTCCCACCAGAAGTACACAAGAGTTTCAGTTTATTATCCATACCAACATTTGTTTTGTCTTTTTATTTTATTTATTATTATTTTTTTAAGACTCTATTTATTTATTCATGAGAAAACAAAGAGAGAGAGAGGCAGAGACACAGGCAGAGGGAGAAGTAGGCTCCATGCAGGGAGCCCGACGTGGGACTGGATCCTGGGACCCTGATATCACGCCCTGTGCCAAAGGCAGATGCTCAACTGCTGAGCCACCCAGGCACCCTGTTTTCTTTTTTTTTTTTTAATTTTTATTTTTTTATTTTTTTTTATTTTTATGATAGTCATACAGAGAGAGAGAGAGGCAGAGACACAGGCAGAGGGAGAAGCAGGCTCCATGCACCGGGAGCCCAACGTGGGATTCGATCCCAGGTCTCCAGGATCGCGCCCTGGGCCAAAGGCAGGCGCCAAACCGCTGCGCCACCCAGGGATCCCCCCCTGTTTTCTTTTTAATAACAACTATCCTAATGGATGTGAAATAGTATCTCATTGTTTTGATTTGCCTTCCCTACTGATAAGTGATATTGAGCATTTTCTCATATGCTTATTAGCTTTTGTGTGTCTTCTCTAGAGAAATGTCTAAGCCCTTTGCTCATGTTTGAATTGGGTTCTTTGATTTTTACTGTTGTGTAGCTTTAAGAGGTCTTCTGGATTTAATCCCATATTAGGTAAGTGGTTTGTAATGTTTTCTTCCATTCAGAGTGTTGCCGTTTTACACTGTTGATAATCCTTTTGATGCACAAGTTTTTTATTTTCTTAAGGTGCAATTAATATTTTTTCTTTTTGTTTCTGCTTTTGGTGTCATATTCAAAAAATCCTTGCCAAATCCAATATCACTATAGTTTTTTTTTTTTTTTTTTAAGAGAGCTCTGGTGAGTGGACGGGGAGGTGGCACAGAGAGAGATGGAGAGAGGGAATTTTTAGCAGTCTCCACACCCAATACAGAGCCCAACACAGGGCTCCATCCTACAGCCCAGAGATCATGACCTGAGCTGAAATTAAGAGTCAGATGCTCAAAAAAAAAAGAGTCAGATGCTCAAACGATGAACCATCCAGGTGTTTTCTTCTAAAAGTTTTATAGTTTTAGCTTTTATAGGTAGGTCTTTGATCCATTTTAAGATAACTTTTGTATATTGTGTTAGTTGTTTTGTATATTGTCCATCTTCATTCTTTTGCATGTTGGATATCCAGTTTTCCCAGCACAATTTGTTGAAAAGACTTTTTTTTCTCCATTGAAAGTTGAAAGTCATTTGACCATACATGTGGGACTTATTTCTGGGCTGTGTATTCAATTCTATCAATCTATAGGTGTGTCATTATGTCAGTACCACACTGTTTATATTACAGTTCACTTTGTAGTAAGTTTGGAAATTAAGATGTGTGGGTCTTCTGGGGCACCTGGCTAGCTCAGTTGATTAAGTGTCTGCCTTCAGCTCAGGTCATGATCCCAGGATCCTGGGATCGAGCCGTGTATCAGGCTCCTTGCTCAGCAGGGACCCTGCTTCTCACTCAGCCTCTGCCTGCCACTCCTCCTGCTTGTGCTTTGTGTCAAACAAATAAAATCTTTAAAAAAAAAAAAAAAGTGAGAGATGTGTGGATCTTCCAATTGTGTTCTTTTTCAAGATCATCTTAACTATTTTGAGTTCCCTGAGATTCCATATGAATTTTAGGATGGATTTTTCTATTTCTGCAAAAAATGTCATTGAGATTTAATGGGAGTTGCTCTGAATCTATAGATTGCTTTGAGTAATACTGACATCTTAATATCAAGTCTTCCAATCCATGTACACAGCATTTCTCCCCATTTATTTTTGTGTTCTTTCATTACTTTCAGCGGTGTTTTTAGTATGCAAGTATTTCACTTCTTTGGTTAATTCCTAAGTATTTTATTCTTTTTGTTGCTATTGTAAAGCAAATTATTGTCTTAATTTCCTTTTCAGATTGTTCATCAGTAATGTATACAAATGCAACTGATTTTTGCTTGAAGAATTTTGTATTTTGCTACTTTGCTGAATTCTCTTATATCACTGGGTTTTTTTTAAGATTTTATTTATTTATTTATGAGAGACACAGAGAGGCAGAGATATAGGCAGAGGGAGAAGCAGGCTCCCTGTGGGGAGTCTGATGTGGGACTTGATCCCAGAAGTCTGATGTGGGACTCGATCCCAGGAGTCTGGAATCATGACCTGAGCCGAAAGCAGAACTCAACCACTGAGCCACCTAGCATCCCTCCTATATCAGTTCTAATAGAATTTCTTTGGTTTGTTTGGTTTGGCTTTTGTTCTTTTTGTGGAACCCTTAGGTTTTCTACATACAAGGTCACATCATCTGTAAACAAAGATAATTTTACTTCTCTTTCCCTTTGGTTGTCTTTTCCTTTTTTCTTGCCTGCTGGTTCTGGTTATTTCCTTTTCTCCAGTGTATAATTACTAAAATAAATGGCCATACGCCTTTTGGGAAAAGACTAGGGGACTCATTATCATGTATACTTGTTGTGGTGTCACCTAGTCTTACCTCCTGGGGATCCAGCTTCTCTGTCAGGTAATGGTCTTAAAACTGGCTGAGATGCAGAAAATGGGTCAGAGATTGTAGTTTTGTATAGGGAGCTGCCCTCAGCCTCCCTCCATTTTTAATTTATTTTATTTTAATTCATTCATTCATCCATTCATTCATTCATTCATTTTAAGTAGGCTCCACATCTGGTGTGGAGTCCAGTGTAGGGCTTGAACTCACAACTCTGAGATCACGACCTGGGCTGAGATCAACAGTTGGATGCTTTAACCAACTGAGCCACTCAGGCACCTCATTTTTTATTTATTTTAATTGTTTAAACTATACCCTGTTAACCACTCATCTGTCTTGTTCCTAAGAACAAACACTATGTTCTTTTTTTTCTTTTTAAGTTTTTATTTATTTATTTAGAGAGCATGAGCAAGGGGTGGGGCAGAGGGAGAAAGAGGAGGGACTCTCCAGCTGACTCTGTGCTGAGCACAGAGCCCATTGTGGGGCTGGATCCAATGACCATGAGATAATGACCTGAACCTAAATCAAGAGTTGGATGCTCAACTGGCTAAGCCACCCAGGTGCTCCAAGAACATTATGTTCTATAAACTGTCTCCATATCACAGCCTCTGAAATCTCATTTTAGAGTTTGCTTCCTTGGTCCATTTCTGATACCAAATATCTTAGGTTGGTTTCCCTGGAAAACAGACTCTGCAATGGAGATTTGCTTGCAGGAAATTTATTGGAGAGTGCTCTTAGGAATAACCACCCATGAAGGAATAAGGGAAGTCTGATTGGGCAGAAGTTGAACTATAGTATAATTAATAACAAAAGACCTCAGCCATTGCCACAGGGAGCCCTGAAACTGGGATGTCCTTTCAGAGATATCCTGAATTGAAGCAAGGGAATTGGACTTTTCTACTCTCTCATTAGCCAGGCACTGGTTGCAGCCTGTCCATTGGGTATATAGTCAGTTAAGGCAGTCCCTCTTGACTGAGGACAATTCTGGAGAGAGATTCAGCTGTGAGCCATCAGCTTGCAACATTACTGGCAATTGAAGGAATGAACCCATCAGTGCTAAAAAGGAGAATCTGAGCAGTGTACCCCAGCATCCACTATAATTCTCTTTTAGTACCAACTAAGAAATTATTTTCTGGTCCCTTCTCTCTGAATTCCTGAATATAAATACATGATGATGTTTCAGAAATTAGAGCTAAGGTCTAAGTAAATCTTACTCAATTTTAATTTGGTGTTGCTATTGTCTTAAAAATAAATCAGAAAGGATGTCCTTTAAACAGAAAAATTTACTTCCTCTAAATACAATGTGTGCTTTCTATGAGAATTGCAGGGAGCTAGAAGACAAGAAAAAGATACAGAATCTCTTGGCTCTTGTGGGCACAACAGACACTGGAGAAGTGACCTATTTTTATAAGGAACCTCCAAACAAAGTAAGTAATCTTTGGTATAGCATGGTAAGCCTGACTTTATTTATAAGACACAGGCTGGGGTCCATAATAAGAGCAATTTTAGTACTTGCTAAAGAAGATAGAAGGAGAATTAGCTGTCATAGTCTCTAAGTCTTCAAAGCATTTTTGCATTTTCTATAATTATGAAGAGCTTTGTGCTTCTCCCCCCCCCCCCCCAAATAAACCTTGGAAAGTGGCATCATTTACCCCATTTCACTGTTTGGAAACCTTACAGCATAAAGGAGTAGATGTTTTGGGTGAGATTAGAGAAGAAAGCAGGATCATACTTAGTGTGGGAGCAAGTTGCAATACTCAGGTTTCTTATTTAATCTTAGTTTATGCTGATGACAAAAGTAATATATGGCATTTATTAAGAACAGCTCTCAGAAATCTGTCATGTAAAAGTGGAAATGTCTTTTATTCCAGAGATAAAACTCTTTTTCCATTCATATAGAGATATTTATGTATATATAGTTTTTCCATTTTTACACTTCAATAAACTGCCTCAGTGACCTCTTTTATACATATCTACATATGCATGCTTTTGTGTTTCCGTTATTTTCCTAAGGGCCCTTGTCCAAGATTCCCCCCTTTGTTTTAGCAGATATTACTAAATAACTCTGAAATTTTATTTTTATTTTTATTTTTATTTATTTATGATAATCACACAGAGAGAGAGAGAGAGGCAGAGACATAGGCAGAGGGAGAAGCAAGCTCCATGCACCGGGAGCCCGACGTGGGACTTCATCCCGGGTCTCCATGTCGCGCCCTGGGCCAAAGGCAGGTGCCAAACCGCTGTGCCACCCAGGGATCCCCTGAAATTTAATTTTTTAGTTTATATTACCAGCACTGAGTTTTATCCAGTTTGTTACTTAATCCACTTTGGTATCTAACAGGCATGACATCCATATAGGATTATGGCAATTTTGACCAATTTGATTTATAAATAGTATTTTGATCTACAGAAGTAAAGCTAAAAAAGTGAAATATGACATTTATAGGAAAACTAATTCTATACTTTTTGGTTTTTTTGCTTCTTTAGGTCAGCATTCTCTCAAAGACTAATCAGGCTGTGGGTATATGTGAACAGAATGAATTTTCCTCAGCTTTCAGAACAGGTATTAGTCATACTGTTATAAATTCTCATTGACATAGAATTCAAAAACACAGTATATATTATTAGATTTTTTTCCTACTATGTAGTGATAATGAATGTTCATAATGATGCCTCTGGTGATTTAAGATCTCACTGAGCTTTTTTCCTTTAACCTTCCTATGATATTTTACTAAAGGAGAAAAAAATATGTAATGAACATGTTTACAGGTGATAAGTCATAAAACAGATTTGGATAACTTCTGGGAATCACAGAATGTTAATTAGCTTCTAATCCTCCATCTCTCTCCTTTTCTCTCTTTTTTTTTTTTTAACAGAAATCCCAATTTTATTTCTCTCTGCCATTTTTTAGAAAATTGACATTTGATTGTAATTGACATATAGCATTATATTTAAGTATACAATATAAGGATTTAATATTTGTATATGTTATGAAATGATCACAATAAACCTAGATGACATTCATCACCACACATGGTAACAGATTTGCTCTTCTTGTGATGAAAACTTTTAAGATCTATTCTCTTAACATGAGCTTCTTGAATCATCCCAGGAATTTTGTTCAGTGTAATTTTAGTGTTGCTTATTTTTAAAATAATCTTATCTTTTGAAAATTGGGTGATCTGTCATAACCAAATGTTTAGACTTACTTTTCCTTATTCCTTACCTTTTCTGGTTAAATAAGATTTTACAAAGAAAATAGACACAGCTCCAAAGGAAAATTTAATGTAGTCTCTAGAAAAATGAATATTACTATCCAGGAGACATCCTAGCAGAGTTCCTCTAGAGAAATTCCCATTCTTTTTTTTTTTTTAAGATTTATTTATTTATGCATGAGAGATACAGAGAGAGAGAGGCAGAGACACAGGCAGAGGAAGAAGCAGGCTCCATGGAGGGAGCCCCATGTGGAACTCGATCCCATGACTATGGGATCACGCCCTGAACCAAAGGCATGCTCAACCACTGAGCCACCCAGGCATCCCTAGAGAAATTCCCATCTGAAAAAGTATTACTATAGGAGTGCCTGGGTGGCTCAGTCAATTAGGTGGCTGCCTTCACTCAGGTCATGATGTCCGCTTTCATTAGGCTCCCTGCTCACCAGGGAGCCTGCTTCTCCCTTTCCCCCTGTAGCTCCCTTTGCTTGTGTTCTCTCTCTCTCTCTCTCTCAAATACATAAAATCTTAAAAAAAAAAAAAAGTATTACAATAATCATCATATGCTTTCCTTTATCTTCTTTTCCTTCTCTTCTGGGTGGAATAAACCAGACTCCTCTGCAAAGGTATGCTTAGGCTTGAATAGCCGAAAGAAAAACTAAGTAAAGGTGTTGATTAATTTTTGTTTTCTGGGACACCTGAGTGGCTCAGCAGCTGAGCGTCTGCCTCTGGCTCAGGGTGTGATCCCCGAGTCCTGCATCGGGCTCCCTGCCTGGAGCCTGCTTCTCCCTCTGTCTAAATCTCTCTGTCTCTGTGTCTCTCATGAATAAATAAATAAATAATATCTTTTAAATAATAATACTAATTTTTGTTTTCTCTTTTAGATTCTAAAGTAAGCAAAAGAAAACCAGTAATGAGAGAGAAGGTAGAAAGTTCTGAGCAATACCAGAGAGACGTACAAACACTTATCCTACAGGTAAAACAGACCAGAAGAGTTTCTGTCCACAAGTTTAGCTTTGTGTAACATACCATTGTTATCATAAAAGTATCTCCTTGCACACATATCATACCTAGGCATCAAGTGATTAAGAAAATTTAGGTTCCTAATTTCTAAGAGTTTATATTTTAAAACTATTATTCTCCATTCAGCCATTCTAGAAGTACACTTCTGAACTTTCTGTTCGTTTGGTTTGTATGCTAAACGGTTTGCAACAAAACTATCATACAGTAAGAATTCCTTTTGTGTTTGGCCTAGGGGAGACACAGAGAGTTTAATTGTCTCTGCTGATAGATTGACCTGTGGGGATAGATCCATTTATTTAGCACATGTATTCTAAAGTCATGAATCATCCTTTTACCACTTGGTAATTGTGTATCACATGCAACCATGATTTTTCATCTAGTTGCACTCAAGTTACTGTCCTTGCTGGGGCCCAACAGGAGTCCGTCGCTCCAAATGATAGTTTCTACCTTTGGCCAGTATCTCCATTTAGAGTCATGACAGCCAGAATTAAAGAAGGAAATTACATGATACTGATTTTGCTCCACTTTTTAAGTTAAAGAATGAAGACAAAAGTCATACTATTTCTTTGCAACTAGGGGCTGTTAGAAGGGAGATGGTCCTAAAAATCTCAAGAGGAAGATGGTGGAAAGTGAGAATCTTAGGGCAGAGGAAACTGGATTTTTTAGCTTTTTGTTAGTGCTACAGATACTTTGTTTAGTGTGGACAGAGCTTGCTCCTGTGTAGCCTAACCCCATTTACAAGACATTGCATAAAAAGAAATACAATTAAGACTTTTCTTCTATTTGTTTTGCTGCTGTTCTTTTGTTTGTGGATTTTTTTGTTTTGCTTTTCTTAAAGTTTTCTAGAAACAGGCTCGCTTTTTGAGGTTAAGAAGTAAGTAAGTGGAAGCAGGACAAAAGTGGATACCTTTTTTTGACCTGTCTAGGTGGAAGCACTGCAGGCTCAGCTGGAAGAGCAGACCAAGCTTTCTAGAGAACAAGTGGAAGGGCTCATGGAGGATAGACGGATTCGCATTGAGGAAATACAAGTTCATCACCAGAGGAATCAGGACAAAATCAAAGAGCTTACCAAAAAGTGAGTGTTCAAGAAAGCTGTACCTGACAGATTTGTAAATTCTTCCAAGGGGCTTAAAAGTTAACAGTCCTGTACTTTAGCAGCATAGGGAACTGAAAGGGAATTGAGAAAATTGTCTTCATCAAACACCCATGCCTCTACATAGGTGGGTGTCCAGGCTTCTCTAGGAGTGCTGTTGATTCTTTTCTTGAAGAATTGGCAAGTATCCCACATGCATTTAACCCACTTTAGGGTTTCAGCTTGATCTTAGACGTTAAGAAACGTTCTCTTAAAAAAAAAAAAAAAAGAAACGTTCTCTTATCTGCTGACATGTTATCTGACTCAATATTGCAGGGACCTTTTCTTTTGTGTGGTCCTTCACAAATGTGGGGAAAACAGCTACATACCCATACCAAAACCACAAGCTCTCTGTCCTTGCTATGTTTATTCCTCACCTGCCCGCCTTTCCCCACTTTACCACAGTCTCATTTCATCCCCACTGTTTACTAGGTCTGTCCTTTCTCAGGTCATCACTGACTTCTTAATTTCCATGACCAGTTATCTCTTTATAGTTCTCCGTGTAACTAGTACCATTCTGCATATTTGGTACTACCTCTGATCACCCTTTCTTTGAAATTAATTTCCTCAGATTTTTTTTAAATTTTATTTATTTATTCATAGAGACACAGAGAGAGAATGAGAGGCAGAGACACAGGCAGAGGGAGAAGCAGGCTCCATGCAGAGAGCCCGATGTGGGACTTGATCCAGGGTCTCAGGATCACGCCCCGGGCCGTAGGCGGCACTAAACCGCCGCACCACCGGGGCTGCCCAATTTCCTCCCGATTTTTGTAACACCTGTCTTGATTCTTCTACCCTTCTGACCCTCCTCAGCTTTTTTTCTGGTTCCAGTGGCCAGACTGCTGTACAGAGCTCTTTAATTGAATATGTTCAAACACCTCCCATTTACCATGTCTGAAACCGAGCTGCTTTTCTTTCCCAAGAAACACCACCTTGTCCCTACTACTTCATTCTTTTTTTTTCATTTAGTTTAATGATATTACATCCATCCCACTTCCCAGTCTTGAAACCTAATGATTATCTTCAATTCCCCACTCTTATTCCTGAATTCCAAGCCCTATCGAGTATGAGCCTGAGAAGCCTCTCCAATCTGTTCTCTCCCTCTCATTCTTTTCACATTGATTCAAGTTATTCTATTCTTCTTCTTTTTTTTTAAGATTATAAATATTTATTTGACAGAGAGAGCACAAGCAGGGGGAGTGGCAGGCAGAAGGAGAAGTAGGTTCCCTGCTGAGCAAGGAACCTGATGTGAGGCTTGATTCCAGGACCCTGGAATCATGGCCTGAGCTGAAGGCAGATACCTAACTGACTGAGCCACCCAGGCACCCCAGATTTTCTCTATTTTTAAGTAATCTCTACCCCCAACATAAGGCTCAAACTGGTGACCCTGAGACCCAAGAGTCACGTGCTCCCGCTACTGAGCCAGCCAGGCTCTATTCTTGTTTATGGTGCTACAGTAAGCTAACTGTTCATCCTATCCCTGATCCTTCTGTCTTCTACAGTCTGCCTCACTATTATGGGTTAGTGTCTCTGTTAGGAATTACGCAACTGCTCAGAAACCTGTGAAAGCTCCCCGTTTATCTTATGATAAAGTCCTAGGGCCTCAGCATGAAATACTAGGGTCTTCATCTTCTGGCAGCAAATTAACCTTCCAGTCTCAGCTCTTCTGCTGTATTTCACTGTATCCTTCATTCCGACTACTAATATCTCTCGCTTGTGGGATCCTTGTAGTGTGGCAGGCACTTTGTTGTGCATGGTCACCTCTTCTCTGAAGACTTCCCCAGGCAGAATTCAGTTTTTCCTCCCCCACATCCCTATGATGACTAGCTTGCCTCTGATGGCACTTACCACCACTTCTTTGGAGTTCTCTCTTTTCCCCAGGGGCTCACTGTGGCCTCCATCCTGCCCTGTGTGCATAACAGGCACATAATAAATATCTTTCCAGTACATGGTAATCCTTACCAAGCTGCATATGAGTTCCTCTTTTTGCACTAAACATTCTACATTTAAAAATTTCTTTCAGGGTGCCTGAATGGCTCAATTGGTTGGGCGTCTGCCTTTGGCTCAGGTCATGATCCCAGGGTCCTGGACTTGAGCCCCGAGTTGAGCTCCCTGCTCAGTGGGAGACCTGCTTCTCCCTCTTTCTCTGTCCCTTCCTCTGCTGGTATGTGTACATGTGTGCACTCTCTCTCTGTCTCTCTTTCAAATAAATAAAATCTTTTTAAAAAAATTTTATGTTACATTTTGTCATATTAAACTTTTCTAGTGCCTCTTCCTCCACTTAAAAGTATGGTGATTGAAAAAAAAAAAGTATGGTGATTGGGGTACCTGGGTGGCTCAATCAGTCATCCAACTCGTGATCTCAGCTCAAGTCTTGATCTCAGGGTCATAAGTTCAAGCCCTGCTTTGGGCTCCACAACCAGAGTGGAGCCTACTTTAAATGGTTATTAATATTCTAGATGACAGTTACAAAAAAAGTGATTAAAATTGGATGTGATCCTTAAATTAAGAACTCTGGTCAATACAGGATAGAATATGCCTTCTGGCTTTTGCAGGTTCTGTTTCTTTCTTTCTTTCTTTCTTTCTTTCTTTCTTTCTTTCTTTCTTTCTTTCTTTCTTTCTTTCTTTCTTTTTTTTTAAGATTTTATTTATTTATTCATGAGAAACACAGAGAGAGAGAAGCAGAGAGGCAGAGACATAGGCAGAGGGAGAAGCAGGCTCCATGCAGGGAGCCCAACATGGGACTCGATCCCGGGTCTCTAGGATCACACCCTGGGCTGAAGGCGGCGCCAAACCTCTAAGCCACCCGGGCTACCCAGGTTCTGTTTCTTTTAACACAGTATAAATATGTTTGCTTATGGCCAGCACTTCTCCATTTTCATTTTTATTTTTGGTATTCTGTGCTTATGCATAACATGTTTATTTTCATTGGATGTTAATTGTTTTTTAAGGGAACAGTGCTTTTAAATTATCACAGTAATTTATAATTTTATATCTGTCTTCTAGAATATTAATAACCATCTTAGTTTAACATCATCTGCATATCTGAGCATATAATCAGTCCCTTATATTAGATAGATCATCCTAAGGATATTGAATGACATGAAATCCAAGGCCTTTAATGACTGTCCTTTGGGTCTCACTTTCAAACCATTTATACATTAACAAGACTATTACTTGCCCAGTTTGTAATTGAGAACATAATGTAAAATAGAATAAAATACCTCATTGAAAGCAAGAGAGATCTTGTGGTAACTGAATCAGTCTCTCTTTCTTCATACACATACATATATACCTGAGTATGTATATATTCGTCTGGTGACAGTTATACTGCTTTGTGCCTGCATTATGCTATCATGTTCTCCTTATCTGTTATCCTATTACTCGTGAAAAGAACTAAGTGTATCTGACATTATTTGGTCAGTGGGAAATTACAATGATTGCCTCATGGTATGTAATATTCTTTGCAAGCAGTTTGATCATTTGATACAGCATTTTTCTAGAAAGTGTTGATGTTAAACTGATGAGTTACTAACTTCTAAGGATATCCTTTCTTAAAGATAGAAGCTTCATTTGGCTATTCCTAAATCTCAATAGTCAGCAGGAATTTATTTTGTACTCTGTATATGTTTAATAGTTCTTGACTATTAAGTGTTCTTGACGGTCTGGTGGTAGCAGGGCAAAAGTAAATGATAAATAAGGGATATGCTTTTGCTCAGGTTAGAATATATGCATGTTGGGGCGCCTGGCTGGCTCAGTCAGTAGAGCATGTGACTCTTGATCTCAGGGTTGTAAGTTTGAGCCCCATATTAGGTGTAGGGATTACTTGAAAATAAAATCTTAAAAGAGAAACAAAAATATACCTATTGACAGTTAAAACAAGACATAGTGTATGAGCCAATGTCAAATTATAACACAGGGGTAGAGAGTTAAACTGATACCAAATTTCAGAGAATGGAGAAACTAAATGGGCCGAGCTTGTCACAATTCCTCCACAGAGGAGGTTAATCTTGAGAAAAGGACAAGATTTGATATCAGGCAGTTTACATGTAAAGCACAACATAAACAAAAGCAAAACTATTTTTGATATTTAAGTACTTGTGTTCACCCTCAGTCAGGGAATAGCCCATACTTGTGCAGGCTATGTGTAAATATTTTTGTAAATCTTTTAATTATATAACCTGGAATTAGCACTTGGGAAATCATCTATAAAGACCAGTCTTTGTAGGGCACTGGGGTGGCACAGTCAGTTAAGCGTCTGACTCTTGATTTCAGCTCAGGTCATGATCTCAGGGTCATGAAATCAAGCGCTATGTCAGTCTCCACACTTAGTGGAGAGTCTGCTGGAGAGTCTTTCTTCCTTTCCCTCTGCACCTCCCCTTGCTCCCCCCCTCACCCCCCCCCCACTCACAAATGTGCATGTTTTCTCTCAAATAAATAAATAAATAAATAATTTTTTTTTTTTTTAAGATCAGTTTGTGAACTAGTGCACATGGATAGGTAGGTAGGTATATTACAGTTTGGTAAAACATGTGCGTTTGCTGGTGATCAGATTAAGTGTGTTTTAAATACTGCTAATGATATTTTATAGAATTTATATATTGTACAATTTTTAACCTGTACCTTCCCTTTATTTGAGTAACTGTGTGTCATATATACCACGTAAGCATCTTGGTGTCCACATTTGTACTTTCTTTCATAGTCTTCATCACACCCAAGAACTTCTTTATGAGAGTACCAAAGACTTTTTGCAACTCAGATTTGAAAACCAAAGTAAAGAGAAGTCATGGATGCTTGAAAAGGATCATTTGATGTCAAAGATTAAGCAATACAGTACACAGTGTAAAAAGAAAGAAGATAAAATTGGAAAAGTTTGGCCAGTTGTTCATGAGATTCATCGTAACCAAAATGAATATGTTAAGGTAATTTTCTTATGTCTTACAGAAATTACTAATTTTTTTCTGGAAAAGTTGAAAGAACTCAGAGAATTCCAAAGAATGTAAAAATTGTCATACAAGATCCAGGAAGTGGATGGGCAGCCCAGGTGGCTCAGCGGTTTAGCACCGCCTTCAGCCTAGGGCCTGATCCTGGAGACCTGGGATCGAGTCCCATGTTGGGCTCCGTGCGTGGAACTTGTTTCTCCCTCTGCCTGTGTCTCTGCCTCTCTCTCTCTCTCTCTCTCTCTCTCTCTCTCTCTCTCTCTATGTCTCTCATGAATAAATAAATACAATCTTTAAAAAAAAAAAAAAAAGATCCAGGAAGCAGGACACCTGGGTGGCTCAGCAGTTGGGCACCTGCCTTCGGCTCAGGTTGTGATCCTGGGATCCAGGATCGAGTTCTGCATCGGGCTTCCTGTGAAGAATCTGCTTCTCCCTCTGCCTATGTCTCTGCCTCTCTCTCTCTTAGTCTGTGTCTCTCATTAATAAATAAATAAGTCTTTTTAAAACAACAACAACAACAACAAAATACAAGATCTAGGAAGCTGTTGTAGCAGCAGCCTCACGAAATAGGTTTTAGAGAGTAGCTTATCATTATAGTATTTGGGGATTTAGAAAAGTAAACAATTGATTCATTTATTCATTCAACAAATATTTATTGCACTCCTACTATGGCCTAGGTTCTGGGGCTACAGCAATAGATAAATTAGACTAGGTCTGCTTTCATGGCATTTACATTTTAATGGATGAAAAGGCAAGAGAGGGGAGGAGCACCTGGCTGGCTCAGTCACTCTTGGTCTCTGGTAATGAGTTCAAGCCCCACATGGGGTGTAAAGATTATGTAAATAAATAAATAAAAACTTAAATGGGTGAGAAGGTACAGAAACAAAACAGAAAATTATAGTTTATTAAAAAGTGGTATTAAGGAGTTTAAAAGATTATGTGAAAATTATATGTACTTGCTGAAAGTCTACTCTTGTAGGGAAGCACAGGGACCCTCTGTTAAATCTGGTGTTGTTTTATAGTTGAGACCTATAAAATGGTCTTCTGCTTGCCATACAGATCTAGGGGAAGAGTATTCCAGGCAAAGGGAGGAGCAAGTTTAAAGGGAAGAGAAGAAATATTGTGGTCATAGAGGAATAAGCAAGAAGGAAGTGGTAAGCAAAGAGGTTAGATGGTGGGCAGCAGCCAGTCATGGAGGGCATTGTAGGGTCTTTACAATCCTGGTAAGAATATTTAACTCTAAACATTGCATGTCTTTGGGCAGCCCAGGTGGCTCAGCAGTTTAGCACCGCCTTCGGCCCGGGGCCTGATCCTGGAGACCCAGGATCGAGTCCCATGTCGGGCTCCCTGCATGGAGCCTGCTTCTCCCTCTGCCTTGTGTCTCTGCCTCTCACTCTCTCTCTGTGTGTGTCTCTCATGAATAAATAAATAAAATCTTTAAAAAAAAAAAAAAAGAACATTGCATGTCTTTGAAGGATTATGTGTAAGGAAGGATCATGATCTGATTAAGGTTTTTACCGATCATTCCTCTGCTCTATGGAACATGTATGTTATGTGTTCTTGTTGGTTCTATTTAAATAACTTCAGAAATGTATCCCAAAATGTATATTTTAACATCCTATGTGGGACAGTTCTGAACTCCATTATCTGACCCTTCTCAGAGCCAAAACTTTTGTTTTACTTTAAAGATTTTCTAGTATGTATGCTTTAGAAAAAGCAAGAGAATCATCTAGAAATAGGCTTTCAGATGTTCTCCAAAGTTCCTTTCCGTCTTGTTCCTTAACTCATTTTAGACTTAATGGAAATCCTTTCTTTTCTTTCTTTCATTGCCCAAGTGCTATTTGAATTACCAAAATTGTAATTTTATTTTCCTTTGACCCGCAGTCCCTAAAGGATAAGTTAGTACAAGAGAAGAAATTGTCCAACATGTATCAAGAGCAGTGCATGTCCCTAGAAGAGGAGCTTGCCCGAATTCGTGAGGAAGAGGGAGTGAGGAGAGAGATCTTCAAGGTACAAAATTCTCTGCCATTTCTGATGGAGTGGGAAGTGCAGATGGCTCAGGGAATGCTTCCCTCATCTTCAGAAATGCCTTGCCATGTCTCTATATTTAGGATCGCACTAACAAGATGGGGAAGCGGTTACAGGTGATGACAAGACGCTATGAGGCCTTGGAGAATAGGCGTATCTTGGAAGTAGAAGGCTTTAAGACGGATATTAAGATTCTCCGGCAGAAGCTAAAAGACTTGGAGCAAATCCTCTATAAGGTAATTGCGGACCCTGAATTACTGAGAGGAAGAAAAGGGGTGCAGGTAAGGAAACATGGTGGCAAGGGCTCCTCAGAAGAAAGATGTTTCTGAGGTTCCCCTCGTGGTAGAGCTTAGTGGATCACCATCTTTCAAGCCTCACTAAAATCAACTGAAGTACACGCCAGAGGGAGGATGCAGAAGATTGAAATCATTGCTTGCCTGTGCCATCGTACTTCCATCTGCTAAACTTAGCAGAAAGCTCCATCCTTCCCAGTTCAAGAAGTAGATGAAAAGAACTGTGTCTATTTTACCAATGGGGAGAGTGAGTGAGTAAGGAAGGAAGGATTTTCTCCTGTCAAACATGGCTTTATTTAGAATTCAGGGTACCTCAGAATCCTTAAGGATTCTGAGATTTTACCAGTCAGCCACATATCCTAAATGATTGCTATGTGCCAAACAAGGTTAATTATTAAAGGGATTCTTTTCTTTCATTCTTTGGCAAATTTACCAGTAATGTTTATATTGGTCTCTTTATGCATTATTGCTTTTTTATTCTGTCTTACAGCTTCTTTACTACTGTATGGGAAAGCAGAGTCTCATGCCTTTTCTGCTTTAATTCTTCTCTACACTTTCCTTCTTTATTTAGTCATTAAGCAAGCTAAGGGTTGAATTTCTCTTATGTGCTAAGTCTCCCAAAAAGGAGCCAGTGTAGCCTAGTCTTTGTGACTGATTTTTTTTCCCCCGGCATGTGCCATAATCATTTCTTCTTCTTCTTCTTCTTTTTTTTTTTTCAAATCTCTAGGCAACACTTAATGCCCAGGCAAACCAGGATCTTGCCATCCTATGTGAGGTGCGTGACAGCAATAGACGGGCACATAAGATACAAGGAGAACTGAAGAACCTAAAGTCCAAAGTCTTTGGTCTGGAGAATGAACTTAGGCTCTGTTGAGGTTTACATTTCAACGTGGCACTCATCTGAAATAGATCGGTTTCCTGAAATCTGCCCAAAAGGTCATCTTCTCCCAGAAACTGTATGCACCGAGTTGGCTAGAATAGTGATACCTGTTAGTACAAAAACAGTGATACCTATTATTACGAATACCTATTATTAGGAATTAGGGATCACTAAAAGAGCCCTTCTATCACACTGACCTTTAGCTATCATTTTTGCTGTCCTTTTTTATATTTTTGGTCTGGATTATAACCTGAATTCCTTAGAGACTTTCCCACATTATTTCTCCCATTTATAATCTAATGACAGGGTTTTGTGTTTTTTTTCAAAAAAGGCAATGATAATGAAAATTCAGGAAGAAAGTATTTTTGGCTATGAGCTCAACTGAGCATCAGTAGTTGAAACTCTGCCTAAAGTCAAGGCATCCTCTGAGGTTGCCCAAGGTAGAAAATCACAATTTATCACATGGGAACAAGTAGATTCTGCTGGGAACAAGTAGATTCTGCTATTTTAACTTTCTTCTGTTGTTAACTGAATTACTTATGGACCCAGTCTCAGGGAGTTACACCAGAGGGCACTAGAGATCCTAGTCCGTCCTTCCTTCCTTCCTTCCTTCCTTCCTTCCTTCCTTCCTTCCTTCCATCTTTAAGCAAAATGTTCATCTAGGAAAATAAAGGTGCCACTTTGGTAAGAGTAAGTGAAAGTTCAGTGATCCTTGTCTGAAAGATCATTATTTTACCAATAACATGTTTTTAAAAAAATAATGTATATATTTTAAATTAACTTTTTCAATAAAAATGTAATTGAAAAGATTCTAGTTTCCTATAATTTCTTGTTAAAAATCACATTTATAACTTTGTTAATGCCTGGTTTACTTACTTGTTCCATGGTCCCTGTGGGTTTATACAGAAATTTAGGTTTTACTGTGAAATTCTAGGATTTTAATAAGCCTTTTTGTTTTGCCTAGCATCAAAACATCAACTGTAATGAAAAATTCCTTAAGTGTTGAACATAAGGAAGAACCATCCCTTATGTATATCCCTCTAAAGCCCAAGACTGATCCCTCTGGGAATTTCTGGTCAATTTATTAGTGAAAATAATGTGATCTGTTATCATAATATGATCATATCATATCATTTATCAGGCTCTTAAAAAAAAAAGTAGTATCTCCTACTGGCAGTTCAATCACCATTTTCCTTTAACACAAATGTGAAAACCTGAGTTCTTTCTTTTGTCCTGGCTGAGTCAGAATGATGCTATATACTAAGCTAAGATCAACTGACTTTCCAGAGTCTGTCCAGGAACATAAACAATTATTGTCCCAGATGCACAGCAGTTTGCTTTAAAAAAAGGATATAGGTGAAAAAACAGATAAAGTGTTAGTGCCACTGCCTTTGGTTCTATCACTTGAAGATAGATGAGTGGGAGGGGATATTCGTGAATAAGATGTTGGAGGAAAATGAGAGCCAGACCCAATGGCAGTAGACAGAGCAGATGAGTAGATAATCCTAAAGGGTTGATTGCCTCCTTTTTCACAGAAGAAATAAAATAAAGGCCTTCCACTGAGAGTGGGATGGGGCACTGCTGTGATAGCTTGAGAAGAGGGAATGTTTGGGAAGATGAGAGCACACTGGTGAGGGGCAAGTAATAGAACCATTAGGAGAAGGTCTTGATGGATTTAGTGAGTTGAATTGACTGCCAATGAAAAAATGTCTAGGATTCCAGCAAGTCACAGTCTGCATGGGCCCTCCTAACTTCCCAAGTAGGTAAGAGCACAGAACCAAATGGATCTAGAACAGGTCGACAAGCAGGAGGAAGGCCTGGGGGGGTTTGGCTGCCTAGTGAAGGGAGACACTACAAAGAAAGTATGTCAAAGTGTTTTTTGTTTGTTTTTAAAGTAAGCTCTAGGGCAGCCTGGGTGGCTCAGCGGTCTGGCGCCGCCTTCAGCGGGGCCTGATCCTGGGGACCCGGGATCGAGTCCCACGTTGGGGTCCCTGCGTGGAGCCTGCTTCTCCCTCTACCTGTGTCTCTGCCTCTCTCTCTCTCTCTCTCTGTGACTGTCATAAATAAATAAAAAATTAAAAAAAAAAGAACCTATTAAAATTTAAAAAAATAAAGTAAGCTCTAGGCCCAATGTGGGGCTTGAACTCATGACCCTGAGATCAAGAATCACATGTTTGGGGCGCCTGGGTGGCTCAGCAGTTGAGTGTCTGCCCTTGGCTAAGGGCATGCTCCTGCAGTCCGGGGATGGAGTCCCACATCAGGCTCCCCTGGGGAGCCTGCTTCTCCCTCTGTCTCTCATGAATAAATAAATAAAATCTTAAAAAAAAAAAAAAAAAGATCACATGTTCCACCAACTGAGCCAGCCAAGTGCCTCCAAAAGCTTAAGCTTCTACATTGGTTTATGGGTCTAATCTGTGAAGTATTCCACTCCTGGAATATGCCTGGTAGTTTAGTTTCCAGTTAATCCTACAAAAAAAGCAAGTGTAAATGAACACAACCTGGGCCTGTGAAGCACTTACCTGATTACTTCCTAAGGTGGCATCACAGTATACCCATGTTATTGTGTACAGGGTAGCTCTCAGTTTGGGGATGACATAATGTTTTTCTGAATTACCAGATGATAAAATTCACATCTTAAGTGGTACATAAGCAAATGGAGTAAGATTGTTACTAAGAAACTTACTGCCCTTGCCATAGCAGCTTTCTGGGAGCCTACCCATCAAATGGCAGCAATTACTGCTTTTGTTTGCAGATCTTTTTGGTATCTCTCCTTTTTGCTTCTTGGACTGCGTGGCTTTTTGAAAACTAAGCCACTATGCCTTTTTTTTTTTTTTAACTAAATGTGTTGTATTGACAGACCAACCAATGGCAATGTGAAGTAGAGAAATAGACTCAATTAAATATTGGAATTTAGGTTGTTGTAATAGAGTCATGTGAAGTTGGTGTGCTAAATATGTATTTGTTTTAGTTAAATATTTGTTATAAAATCCTATGCTTGAACAGTTAGCTCATGTACTTCCATTTATTGATATCTATGTCAGTCTGTCTCCTTACATAATTTTAGATTCACACGTGGTTGTAAGAAATCATACAGAACGATCCTTTTTGTCCAGTTTCCTCCCACCACTCCATTTTGACATGGCTAGTCTACAGTTTTTGCATCTCAACAAATTCCCAAATTGGACCACAATGTTTCTGATGGGCCTTGTCTTGGTTTCGTGACTTCCCCCCCACCTTTGGCTCGCAATCGTCCTACCCAGTAAGCATCTTAGTATTTAGCCATATCAGTGCTAATTTTAAATTTGTACAATCTTGGTATTGCTATGTTGACTGTTCTTTGCCTTGACATTTAGAAAGGGATAATGAAATACTAAATAGTGGGAACTAAAATCTGAGTGAGGGATCCCTGGGTGGCGCAGCGGTTTGGCACCTGCCTTTGGCCCAGGGTGCGATCCTGGAGACCCGGGATCGAATCCCACATCGGGCTCCCAGTGCATGGAGCCTGCTTCTCCCTCTGCCTATATCTCTGCCTCTCTCTCTCTCTCTCTCTCTCTCTCTCTCTCTCTGTGTGTGTGACTATCATAAATAAATAAATAAATAAATAAATAAATAAATAAATAAATAAATAAATAAATAAATAAAATAAAATCTGAGTGAGCCTAATGTAGTATTGTCATGCAGATTTCTATAAAATTTCATTTGGCCCCAAGCTCAATAATCAGTCAAGACTGAACAGGTCTGTCTGGGGTTCTTTTATTTAAACTGGAGTGATTCTCCATTCCAGCCCTAGAGCTCTTGTATCACTCCCTAAGCCAGGCCAGCACCCGATAAGCTTCTGCAGAAAATAGCTATGTTCTCTTTCTTGCTTCATGGCAAAGCAATGAATTCCTTCCTCCAAAAAATGACCTTATAAAACTCTTCTTTCTCTGTATGTTCTCTGCTCAAATCCTCTGTAACATCTTTGGGATTCTGTATTTCTCCTCTACTCAGTCTGACCATAACCCTCTTGAATTCATCCTGCCCCTTCTCCTTTTATGTCATACCTGGCCTCCCAGCCTCACCTCCTGAGCACTGGCATCTGAGGGTTCCTCCCTGTCCCCACCTGCTTTGTAGATCTCTGTCCTCTCTGACTCCTCTGTCTGCTGGGTTTTGTTCACTCCTTGTCTGACTCTCTTCTCCTTACCCCGACAATTTCAGTGTTTCCAGGACTCTGTCACCCACAAGATCCTCCCTAGGTGATCTCATTCAAGCATGCCAACAACTAAGGGTGAGATTATTATGGGATTTCTTTTCCTAAAGTTCTCATAAAGTAGGAGTAATCTCCCTTGAGAACAGTATTGAATTTTTTTAAGGAAACTATTATTTTTAAAATTTATTTATTTTAAAAAGTAATCTCTACACCCAACCTCGCAACCTCAAGATCGAGAATTGTATGCTCTTCTGACCGAGCCAGCCAGGCACCCCAAGAACAGTATAGAATTTAAGGGAAAACTTAACTGAAAGCAAAATTTTCCATGTACTAAGCCAAGGTACCACTAGGATGGGAAAATATATATAGCAAAGGGTGACTGAACCCAGATGAGAAAAATATATCAGACTGATTTAAAGTCCCCAGGTTCACTTTGTAATAATCTGAAGGAAAACTGAGAGCATGAAATGTCCCCTAAAAAGATCTGGGATGATGGAATGCAAGGTTTCTCCCTGCGTATCTCTTACTGACCTGTACTGAACAGCCCTCTCTTGAGGGTCAGATGTCAGGTTGAAGTGCAGAATCTGTCAAGGCAGAATATTTTTAGAAGCTCTAGGGAATATAAAAGTTATGAAGAACTCAGTGCTTAGGGGATCCCTGGGTGGCTCAGTGGTTTGGCGCCTGCCTTTGACCCAGGGCGCGATCCTGGAGTCCCCGGATTGAGTCCCGCGTCTGGTTCCCGGCTTGGAGCCTGCTTCTCCCTCTGCCTGTCTCTCTCTCTCTTTTTCTATCATGAATAAATAAATAAAATCTTAAAAAAAAAAAAAAAGAACTCAGTGCTTAACTTTCTCCGAAAGTGCTTCCTTATACATAACACCCACCTTGACCATCCTCCACTACCACCGCACACATCCCATGTATGTGGTGAATATATGAAGGGCCAGGAAAACAAAGAAACCTCATCACATAACTAGTTGTGCTGTCCTTGTCCCAAGTCACTAGACTGGGTTTACCTCTTTTCTTCATAGCTTAGCCTGATGAGAATGTTCTGTTTCAATTGGTTCTTGGAAACAGACTTTATTATTTCTTTTATTGCGAAAAAAAATCTATATTTAGATTTGGCCAGCTGGACTCAGGATAGATGATCCCAATTTTGTTGGTAACATCCATAGCATCATAGTCAGTAGCCTTTTCTCTCCAATAGGCCTGATCAGGGTGTTGACCTTGGCCATGACAATGTCACAGAGCTTCTTCATAGCCTGTTTAATCTGGTGCTTGTTTGCCTTGACATCCACAATGAACACAAGTGTGTTGTTGTCTCCTATTTTCTTCATGGCTGACTTGGTGGTCAGTGGGAACTTGATGATGGCATAACAGGCAAGCTTGCTTCTCTTGGGGGCACTCTTCCAAGGATATTTGGGCTGCCTTCAGAGATGCAGTGTCTTGGCCCATTAGAGGTAAGTGATATGCAGATCTTTTTTCTGTGGCTGTGGATGCCTTTCAGCACCCATTTTCTTGGCCTGGCTTTGGCTTTGGGTTTGAGAGGGGCAGGGGCTACTTTCTTTGCCTTTAGTGCCATCTTCGTGAAAGGGTTGGTTCTTGTAAACTGACTCTAAATCA